AAATTGCTATTAAATTCTTATGATTTTAAGAAGAAAAGTTGCGAATCTTATAACAAAACTTATAAATGATAATCAATATTTGAATTAAGGATATTTTAATCATTTATATTAATTTATTAATGACAGAAAAGTTTTTAAAATTTTTTAAAGAATTATAACATTTTAAGAGACCAAAATATCATTTATATAATTAAAGGAATTTTATTGTCATTTTTTAAAAATATCTATGCATGTTATACAAATTATAAACCTTTTTTTTTTAAATTACTTCTCAAACTCCTTAACTGCAATAAAATAGATCTAGAATAGTTTATTAGACTCACATTAATCTTTATTTTTAACCGGCGTTAAGTGTGATTAATGTGAGAAGAAATCTTGTATTAGATAGAGTTGAATTGAATTATAATAAAAAAATCCCCTCCGTTTTAAAGAATATAAATATTTTTAAGCAAATGTTTTAGTTTAAAGAAGTTCATATTAATATATTTTTTAGGACAGATGATAATGAAATCTCCTTAAATTATATAAATGATAATCTGATGTCTCAAAATATCATAATTTTACTAAGTCTAGGGGCTTGAGTATCAATAAATTTTAAAATAAAAAGATTATTTTATCTTTATTAACAATTTGTGATTTTTTTTACAAGCAACAATTTGTGATTTATTGTTTAATTCTTATAATTTGTTTAATAAAAGTTGTTATTTCTTAAATAAAAATTATGATTGGGGCTTATTATTTTAAAAACTTATTTTTCAATAATAGAAATTACACTTAACAAATTATGAATTCTTATTTAACTCTTACAATTCATAGAATAAAAATTATTATTTTTTAAATAAAAGTTGTGATTAAAGTTTGTTATTTTGATAACTTGTTTTTTAATAATAGAAATTATGCTTGATAGGTTGTGATTTTTTATTTAGCTGTAATGATTCACAGAACAAAAGTTATTATTCTTTAAGTAAATGTTGTGATCGTGACTTGTTACTTTCAATAAAGGTAAAATAATTTTTTTACTTTAAAATTTATTGACATATAAATTTTTAAAAACTTCAATGAAATTATGACATTTTGAGAGATTAAGTTATCATTTATATAATTTCAAGCAATTGTATTGTCATTTTTCCTATTCTGTATTGTACACAGTGTTTTTTAATTAAAAATAATCATACTCGATGCATAGTTATGGTACACTAAATGTGATTACTTCTTTTAACAAAATTTGAATTCAATTCACTACATTGTGAAAAATTAATATCTTTGCTAGACTCAATATTCATTGAAATTTATTAATATTTTTAAATTTAATAATGTACCATTATTTATTCCAACATTTTCAAAGAGTATTTATTAGGCTTTACAGATAAATTTGACGATGTAATCAATATTTTTATGTATTAATTTCGTTTTTTAACCTGTATGTGGAAATTTTAAAAGATATTTCGTCCTACTTTATAATAATTTTTTTAATTATGCGTACCAATAAAATTAATTACATGGAATTTATAATTTTTTAAAAATTGTGAAAACATTAAAGATAAATAGAAAATAGAAAATACGTATATATATATATATTATATATAATCAAAGAGTGAAGGGAAATATTGAAACAACAATCATTAATGAAAATTTCTTTTTATGAAAACATCTTATGTTTTTAAATATCAAAATATTTTATAAAATGAGATGGAGGGAGTATATATTTTGAAACAACTAGAGCATATATGTGGGAAATTTTTTTTTTCATAGATTTACTATTTGGGTCAACATATTTTTACATGTAGCTTAAAGTAATATACTTCAATTAAGAAACTAAAAATTAAGTATAAAAATACGCTGTAAGCTTGTAAAAAAATCCAACTAAAATCTCTGTGAAAATAATTAAAATAATAACAATAATTTATTATAAAATAAATAATTTATAAAAAATTCATCTAAATTTAATTAAAAATAAATATTTTACACACACGATGTTAAATATATAAGTTTTCCGACCATCCGTTAATACTACAACTTGTAATCCTCAAGCATTTGACTTTAATGGATAGTGACTACGACTCAAAAGTTGAATTTTCAGTGGCATTTGATAAGGCTTCCAGCAATTCGCAATCGACACGAATTGGTTTTTTTTTTCACTATTTTTTATATTTATTGAAGTTGGGAATTACTTTAATTTCAGGACCAAGTCTAGAATTAGAATATGCAATTTGGACAAGTTGGATTAGGTGACTAGTGAAAGCACGTGGTTGAAAAAAAGCTGTGAGAAAGCGGAGAAATTATTTTAATTTCGTTTCAAAATCATAATTCATAACTTCGTTTACCAAAACTAGTCGCTTTTGTCAATTTGCCTAAGATTAGTATTGCAATTGAGGTCGTATTCATATTAATTTAGGTTTTTTTACTTAGTTTCACCTAACTCGTTAATTAATTCATTTTTTTTGAGAGAATGATAATCAAGTACCAAAAAATTAATTTAATAATAGTTAAATTCTTGATTTTTTTTAAATGAGTTAAAAATATTGACTTATATGATTAATTATTCAAAAGTTTTAATTATAAATAAGTCACTTCGGTTTTAAATGTAACACGTAAATGATAATCTAAAATTCTTGTTTGTGATAATAGTTAAGCTCTTGATAAATTTTATGAAAAATAAGTTAAAAATATATATTTAGACAATTGCAAATTTAATAGTTTCAATTATAAATAAAGTATTTTGGTTTTGAAAGCAACTTTTAAATTGTAACAATGATTCTTGTTTCTGAATCAATAATTACAATTTATTTTAAAAAAATTATCAAAAAAATATAATTTTTAATCTTTCATTAAATTTCTTATGCTTGAGAGTTGGGGTTTATTTGGTTTCTGTTCTTATTTACCGTTTTTAAAAAATATTTTGTAATGCAGTTTTTAAATTATTTTTCAAAACAAAATAAACTAAGTGGTTATACTAATTTAAAAATAGTTTTAGAATTAAAAAATAGACTGCTAGTAACGGTAATAGATAGTTAATAGAAGTGATTTGTGATAGAAATTAATTAAAGTAATTGTAGCGTCTAATAATCAAATGTTGTGTATTTTGAAAATAGGAAAAATAAAACGAAAACAATTTAAAGTTACTCCTATTTTTTATTTGTAAAAATAAAAATAAAAATATTTTTAAAAACAATTAAATTAAAGACATTTAACCAAACAAGTTTTTTAAATTTTTTTATTTTCAAAAATAAAAAAAATTTAAAAATAAAAAACAAATAGGCCCTTGGATAATCCTTCCTAATTCTCTAATTTAACGAATAACACCTAGGCTTGTTTTCTTAGTTAGTATTGTTTTTTCTAAACTACTGTAAGGATGATTGTCACTTTCACCGAGAATGGGATTCAATTCTCACATTAATGAAAAATTTGTATGTGAGTATAGATAAATATGAATTTACTGGAGTTAAAGGGCATTTTCACACCCTTAGCTATTTATTTAGGTTATCATTGTTTCGTATCTTAAAATTATTTGCAGTGTGATTTTTCCTTTCAACAATGAAAAATGATATATTAGATATCCCGCTGTTAAAAAAAAAAAAATAGCGCTAACCATTAATTGACTTCAAATTTACATAAAAGACATAAAAATTACACATAAATATCCTATAAAAAATTAATATCAATTACAAAACTAAAATATGATTTTAACCAACCACTTTGACTGAGATATGATATTAATATTTTTTATAAGATACTTATTTATAATTTTATAGGTATTTTTATTTATTTTTGAGATCATTTCTATAATTTTTTTGGGTAAACAAACTGTCAAAGTTAATTTTTTTAAAGGTAGGATGCCCAATGCATCATTTATTGAAGAGAAAAATTGTATCACATGAAAATTTATCATATTAGATGCTCCTAAGTAAATTGTTGAAGAATAAAAATATTCATTAACTCATTTTACTATTTACGTACTATATGGGTTAAATGGCTTTTTCTATTTAAGTAAATTGTTATTATGTTGCTTGCGGTTCTTGGAATCATGGCAGTTGGCATCAACATGCCAATAAACTTTCGAAAAAAAAATAATTTATTTTACCACGGGACACTTAAATCAACTGGTAAAAAAATTATTTGAACTTAACTAGAGATCAAATTCAAGCCATACTATATAACAACAATTAAATTCTTAAATATAAGTCACTCATAATTAATTCACAAGCAAAAATGTTAGTTACGTCATTAAGATTGTCTAAAAAATAAAAAATACTTTTATTTTTATTTTTATCCTTAATAAATATTATAAATACAAATGCTAAATTGTTTGGTCTTGAATGCAACCAAATTTTATTAGATGCATGTTTTTTTGGCCAACTTAGATGCATGTTTTCAATTTTACTCTTCATACGAGGTAAAATATATTTTTACAGTTTTACTTCTTTAATTTTATATAAGATTTTAGTTAAGTTTTTTAATTTTACAGAGCATCTTTTTTAATTCTCTAATTATAATACTATTCATTAAAAATAATTACTTTTTATATCAATCATTATTATTTAAAAAAATTAAACTTAATATATTCTTAATGTATTTTGTTTTCTTAATATTTAAAAATCTAATGTAAGAATTTTTTGTTAAAAATATTAACAATATTATAATTAAAAGACATTTTATAAAATTAAAATATTATATAAAATTAAAAAATTAAATATACACTTTAACTTAATATTAATACTACTGTATATTTCATGAACAAAAAATCAAACTCACATAATGTTTATGTACATGAAGTGATGAGAGAAAATCATGATTTTAATGCATTCTCACCAACATTTTCCCGCGAATTAATACATATTATTTAATTTAATTATTAAATTATTAATATCTAAATTAATCTAAATGACTTATTAAAGCCTAATAATTTAGGGTTCGTGGGGACAAGAAATGCCTAGTGGAAGCATAAAGATTCATTGTCCCGCTCCCAAGGTGGCTGGCATTGATCTCCTCTCCTCTTGGCATTATTTTTGGTTCTTGATTGTCTCACTCATGCAGGTATCAACCACCTGCCTTCGCTTCCAGAAAGTCAAATCGACAACCCCCCATTAGAGCGGTCCTATTTTTCTAGCATTATTTAATTCTCCGTCATATTCTTCATCATAAAGCTTCTTATGGTGAAAACGATGGCCATCGTCATCACCATCACCAGTAATTTCTGCTGCATTCGTTGTCTCGACCTGGTCATAAATGTACCATTCTCGAGCTTTCACACTCTAGTCTCCCTTGCTGATGCTTGCTTCCATAGGTACTTCACCACCTCACCATTTTGTTAATTTTGTTTCGTCTATTGCTTACCTGCAACACAGTGTTTTGTTTGTATGCTTTTGGACTATTAAGTCGAAAGGGTATGCTTTTGTTTCAAGGCTGCTGAAGTTTTCACTTTGTTGCTTGCATGGTATTGCCTTTCGTTTTTGGGTTATGATTCGTGGGTAAAGTGTTTCTTACTGTTGTAACCAGGACAAGAAGAGTGCCCTGTTTGGTTCATGAGAGATATCTAAGAAGTTTGGTGCTTTCTACCTTCTTGGATTGCGATGTCTCTTGCAAAGAGTTGGGATTATGAAGTTGTTTTCAGCTTGTGGTTCTGCTGCTTTTTGCTACCGGTTTCTGCGCAGGATTTTATCACTGATCCCACTGAAGGTAGTTTTTTCGTTAACGTGTTCTTTGCTCTGCACTTTGCATCTCTATTATGATTAACTTGTCATTCTGGAAATGGTAGCTTTTCTACCCTGGGGTACTCTTACTTCTATACAAGGTTCATGCATTAAAAATTGAATTTACCAATATATTGATTGGTATCTCTCTATGATTATGGGTTATCAAATCATTAAATATAATTATCAGCAAAATCCACAGATATCATGCTTATGTCATCCAATTATACCAACATCACTATATTATGATTCAAATTTGATGTCTTAATTGTTAATTAATAACAAAGACATAGGCATGTATCACTGTTGCCGCTGTATAGATTTCAAGACCAAATTTAACTAGCGGTTTAGGATGAGCGTTGCATAGTAAGGATTTACTGGCAAACAATAGGTGCTGCTAGGTAATAGTAATAAGTGGCAAAGCAATCAGCATCAAAAGTAATGTGCGATTTTGTTTTTATTGATGATATGTTGATTTCGTTTGCATTCATATGCAGTTGACGCATTGAAAATCATCAAGCAAAGTTTGGTTGATCGTAATGGAAATCTGAGCAACTGGAACAGTGGAGATCCATGTAGATCTAACTGGACAGGGGTTGTATGCTATAATACAACATTAGTTGATGGTTATCTCCACGTTCAAGAATTGTATGGTTTTGTTTCTCACATTCCATTACTATTTTGTGAAATCCTTACAATCATGCCTATGCTTCTGATTACTTTACCGTCGTGTATTTATGTTTATTTATCTTCTCTGTTGAGATGCAAATAAACTCACAATGTGCAAAAAAATTTTCTTAGCTAATAGTTTATACTTGTAGGAAGAATCAGCAGATTGAGACGGGAACTGTGGTCAAGGAGTGCACAGTTTTTGCAACATATATTGATGAATTCAGATATCCTAAAATTGAAATATCTCTTTCTTAGATTCTCAATCAATGGTGCTCATCAATTTTCACTTATAGAATCACTATTATCCAATGCAGAGCATGCATAAAATGACATATTTCAATCTCTACATATCATGTCAGACAACTTTGATTTAAAAGAATATTAGATTCGCGATTCCTTGCATTTGTGGCACATTTGTTTAAGAACCTTCTTCTTGCTTCTAATTTTGTCACTAATTTTTTTTTTTATTTTCTGTAGGCAACTGCTGAGTATGAATTTTTCTGGAACTTTGGCACCAGAGATTGGCCGCTTGGCCTATCTGACAATATTGTAAGAGAATATTTGCATTGATGTTTGCCTTGTTACATACGCAATCAATTTTCAATTTTACAATGCTTGGATGCCTTATTTGCTCAAGAATACGGTATAATTGACCTAAATATTTTCATCCTTTTGCCGCTTACCATTTCCTTCACCGTTTGATATATGCCTTTCTTTTTTATTCTTGAAGGAGCTTTATGTGGAACAACATAAGTGGGAGTATCCCGAAGGAAATTGGCAATATCTATACCTTGGAGCTCTTGTAAGATGGGCCTCTCCTTTTGGATGATATAGTTAAATAGCTCAGTTCTTTAGTCATCTTTTTGAATTTTGAATCATTTAAATATATTAGCATACAAATAAACTTGTTAAAGCACCAGTTTAGAATTTTACTATTTGTACATAAATTGACTTCAACTGCTGGTTGTTGGCGAAAAGTTAAATCTAATTGTTAGAGCAGAAGATATTATTTCATTTATTGTGTGGATACATAATCTCATTTATAGTGATAGCATAATCATGGGGATTAGAGTATTATTGTGTATCACTAAGCTGTTATGATTGAGGCTCCTCCTTTGTGCATATATATAGCCTTTCTCTGATGAATAAAATCAAGCATTTGAATCATCTTTCTTCTCACATATAATTGGCATAGTCATATTTTAACATGAAATGCTACATCAAATCTACTTTGTTTCTCATATATTGCAAATTTTCTGGCAGACTCTTGAATGGCAACCACTTAACAGGGCCTTTGCCAGAAGAGCTTGGTTATCTTCCAAATTTAAACAGAATTCAAATTGATCAAAACAAAATATCAGGACCTTTACCTGCATCATTTGCAAACCTGAACATGACAAAGCACTTGTAAGTTCCTTTTGAAAAAATTCATGAATGTTTGCTTTTTTACTTGGCCTGAATTCACTTATTTTTCTGCCATTGCTATTTTCATGAAAAGAGAAAAATGAGAAAAAATTAATATTTCATTTTATTCCTATGGAGCAGTCACATGAACAACAATTCGATTAGTGGACAAATCCCACCAGAGCTCTCCCGCATGCCAAATCTTGTCCACCTGTAAGTTGATAATTGGATATCAGAGACATAATTGATACCCTGTTTTTCTTGAGCAAAATAATTGATAACATTTGGATTTATCTAAGTTTAATCCTTGATTTTCACGCTTATGTCTTGTTTATCTCTGGACCTGCAGTCTTCTTGACAATAACAACTTATCAGGATATCTTCCTCCTGAGCTCTCTGAGATGCCCAACATACTTATCATGTATGGATTCATCGTCCTTATGGAATGTGTGTGTGTGGTGTAGGTGTACAGTTTTGATGTAGGAATCTATTGTTTTCATCTTTGTGAAGCTGGTGACATTGCTTCTTTTCTAGAGGTCATTTATTTCAGCTAACTGTTTCATTTTTCTTTCAAACGTTCTTATGATTTAAATTGACATTCAAACTGATTTCATTAGAAAAATAGTGCTGAGAAGACTATGTGTGTTTGGTTTCTCATGAAAATGATAGAATTTCCTGCTTTAAATACAATTCATTGACCTTCATAACGGATCCAGTGTTGAGCATAGCATAGTAGTGCTTCAGTTTTAATTCGCAGGGAACTTCTTTGTTTGGTTGACCATACACCTTTAAAGGTGGATTGATATAATGACACAAAATTCAAGGAGTAAAAGTTGTTTAAGAACTAGAAAGTTGGGCACGAGGGGTGATATGAAAGAATGGATAGGGAGAGAGAGAATTTACTAACTATCAACTCCCATTGTATCCTTTCCCGCCACTAGACTTACTCTATTTATAGACTTTCTAGTGAGTTAGTTATCAATGTTATCAACTAATTCTATTACACGAATTATTCAAATGGACATAGAGGCCTAAATATAATTTTGTTTTTTACTTATTGTTTCTTTCTACAGGAATTTGTGCATATATTTATATCATTACAGCTTAGTTACTGTAATTTATTATGTTCAAATGCTATATGTTTATGCAAATGTCTTATTTTCCAACCATATACTGATTAGAAGTAAGAGACGCAAAACTGTGGTTTGGCTAGCAAGGCCATTAATGGTTTGGATTGGATTTTGTAAATATTGGGCACAAGATGAATGATTAATTAATTGGGTAAGTGCTAGGAAACTATAGGGTGGGCGTTTTGCCAAGAATGTCTTGTATCATATGTTCATTATTACAGTATAGTAATACAGGAAATTTCCTATTTCTTTCAGTGCTGGACTTTTTAATGTTTTCTTGATGCTTTTTGCTTTTACATTATCAATTATTTTAATGATATTCCTTGTTGGATAGTTACATTTGTTAAGAATTTCTTGGATCTTCTTGTTCTTGCAGTCAACTTGACAACAACAACTTCAGTGGGAATACAATTCCAGCGTCTTACGGCAACATGTCAAAATTGTTGAAATTGTAAGTGCATTTTTATCCCATCATCTGTTAGTAGACTCATAAGCGTGACTGTGAGGAGTAGACCTGAGATGCAGGATTTTGATTTTGAAAGCTAACTTGAGATGCTGAAAGCTCTATGATTTCTCATATGTCAAAATGGCGATTATACATAACTGCAAGAGTTAACTTGGAAAGAAAAAAGTGAAAGGGAAAAGGTCAAAATCTCAAAGCTGAAATTGTAGACGTTGCCACTGGAAACCATATTAGATGTATGGAAATAATAATGTACTCCATTGTGGTCAAAATCTCAAAATTAAAATTAGGTATTGGACACTAGTCGTGTCTGTGCACGGGCTTTAGTTTTTCAGACTTTTCCTTTGGCTTGTTTCTGATATTTTTGTGGTTTTATTTGATACATTCATTAGCTATAGTCCCCAAGTTTTGACTAGTCTGATTTGAATGATTTAGTCAACTATAACAACATAATGAATGATTTCTTTCTTTTTTGTTTGATGCCTAGGTTAAATTTTTCTTCTCTTTCAAATCTAATTCTTTTTCTGTTCAATTTTATCAAGTGCCTAACTTTGGTTTCCTTAGAAGAGATTATTTGATATTCATTCTCACACAATCCTAGCTTTCTCATCCTTGGATCTACTCTACCACCCATCTATTCCAAATCCCTAACCTTGCAGACTTTCTAGAGACCCAAAAATCAGTAATTCACCTCTCAGTAAATCTCCCAGTGCTTGTAAGTTGATCTCTCTTATAAGAACAACGAGCTTTTAGTCAATTTTTACTTATGAGGCCATAATATTCAATTTAAGAAACCCTAGCTCCATTTCGTCCTACACCAGCTTGTTTGCTTTGCTTTTCACTAATTTCCCCCTCTTTGGTCTATTTTCTTCTGTTTTTCTCAAGGATGTCTTGTTCTCCCTCTATGTATCCTGTTGGTTTTTGGGATGCAAAATAGGAAAAATGAAAAACTGGAGAGTCATATAACATAAGGAAGATGGAAAGAACGTTTGATTGGAATAGGAATTGTGATTTTATTAATGAGATTTCACCTTCATATATTTGAAATCAACCGAAAAAAAAAAACCTTAACTAATAGCCACTATCTGTCCCATTAAATCACAACCGCTAAAAAACAAACTAACAAGTCTGGAAAAATAGGAACAAATTATTGACTGATAAAACCAGCAAAACAAACAGCTATTGAGAAGAAAATATAACTGAGTATTCTCTGTCACAAAGGGAAAATGTTGAGAATACAATCGCTAATCTTGACTCACTCACCGGTTTTCACCTCCTCCTCACCAAAAAGAAACAAGAACACACAATAATGAACCCTCACACAACCTAGTTTTCGAGAGATCAAGCCCTCTCCACTAAGCTGATACTACAACCTACCTTTCCCCCTCTCCCCAACCTACTTTACACACACCCGCTAATTTGACACTGTCAAGATGTCTGTTACTTTGCCTTCTAACCATTTTGCCCGTCCTCACCCCATTGGTCATTCTAGGCTTTATTTCCTCCAGCCTTTCTTTCATACACTTGGCCCCATTATATGTTCTCTTTGTTAATCATCATTGTATGACGCCATTGTGATTTTTTAGTAATTAAGTGTTTGGAAATAGCATACCCACTATATGTTCTGTTTGTTAATCATCATTGACTAATTCAAATAAATATAATCTAATCATGAACATCCATGAGAATAACCACCTAACTTTCAACGTCGTGCATGATTCGAGAATATTTTGATGAAGAATTGGGAGGTCACCTATGAGCACATTTATAGAGAAGCTAATTTATGTGTTGATTACATTGCAAATTTTGCTCATGATATAAACTCAAAGACTGTGATTCTTAAGGATCCTCCCAAAGATTGTTGTAACTAATGTACTTTTTTGTGGACCTTATTGGTCCTCCTTAGTGTTTTTTCCATTCCTTGTATAAAAAAAAAGGAAAAATTAATCTTTTAGTCCTTTAGCTTTTAATGCACTTGTAACTCAGTCCTTCAATTATGACTCGCTGCGATTCAGTTCCTCAATTATGGCTCTCCTATGACTCAGTCCCTCAACTTTTGACTCACTTATAAGTTAGTCCCTCAACTTTTGTTAATTTTCTTTTTTCATGTTAGCTTAGATCTCACATCAAAGAGTAAGAGGAGGATATTTTAGAATAATATATGAGCATTTCTTTTATCCTTCTTATTTGATAAGGAATTTTTTTTAAAAAAATTGAAAAATAAGGACCAAATTATAAGTGAATCAAAAGTTGAGGGACTAAATCACAACAAGTTACAGTTGTAGGATTGAGTTACAGCGAGTCATAGTTGAGAGACTGAGTTACAAGTAAATTAAAAGTTGAAGGTATAAAAGATTAATTTTCCAAAAAAAAAAATCGTGTACAACTAATTAAATAAAAACATGCAGATTAAAAAAGGCTGTATTGTACCTTTAGTCCTTTAATTTTACACAAGATTTCATTTTGGTCCTTTGATTTTCTAAAATGTTTTTTTTCAGTCTTTTAATTCTAATATCATTAGTTTCATTAACAAAAAATTCCTATATTGTACTTTTAAATATTGACAAAACATTCTCAAGTGCTAATATATTAACTTTATTTTTTGAAAAATAATAATGATTGGCATAAAAAATAATAATTTGAAACTAACAATGTTAGTTAGAGGGCTGAAAAGATGTTTTATAAAATTAAAGAATCAAACTGAATCTTGTATAAAGTTAAAGGACCAAAGGTACACTTTAACTGATTAAAAAATAATCATGTGCAGTAATCTACAGCAAATACCCAATGCTTCTTCCTTTAGATGCTGCATGGCTTTTCTTTTGTTTTTTTTTACTTTCAAATAAAAAAAAAACTTAAACTTGCTGACAGAACTTAATTGATTGAGCTAAAACTTATTCCTTGAAAGCACTCCTCCTTGTCTTTTAACGTTGCAAACTACCAATTTCTTCTTTAATTGTTGATTATCTCCCCCTAATCATGAACAGCTCCTCCTGGATTTGAAATGTCCAATTTTGGTCCTCCTTAGATTCTTCACATCCGGCTAGCTCATATCCTGCAATGTTGCTTCTTTGCTAATTTTCTACTTGTGACCTTGAAGAAAACACAGTATGCTCCTCCTCTAATGGATTTAATGACAAGCTTTTGTCTTTCATCTTTACCTTAAACAGCTTTTTCCTCTTGGTCAGTAGAGCCTTTGATCAAGAAGTGTTTGCCCTCAAATATCACCTTTTCTAGAAACTGGCCAACATTGAGCAAGTTTTTATCCATGTTAGGCACATTTAAAACATCAGAAATTATTTTGGTACCTGAACAAGTTGAGATAGCATGACCCTTTTTTGTTTACAATAAGTTTTTCACCGCTTCCAACTTTGACGCTGCTACCGATTATGGGCTCGAGTACCCCTAAAAGGTCCTTGTCATGTGTCTTGTGATGTGTAAAACTGCTGTCAATCAACCAAGATTCACTTGAGTCTCTGCCATTTGAAAAACAGGTAGCTGCAGTTAGTTTGTCTTCCTCTTCACCATCAACATGAGCATCTTCTTTTGGTTTCTGATTGTTGCAATTCAACTTTTCATGGTTGAGTTTATTGCACTTACTACACTTTGCGTCTAGTCTCTTCTAGCATTTGAATGGTGGATGACCCTTCTTGCCACTGTGCTAATAAAGTGGATAGTTCTTCTTTGAGTTTCTGCCTTTTCTATGATTCTGGTTGTTAGAGTTTTCAGCACTTGACTCCTGATTTTTCTTAAAAAATTTTCTTTGAGAGCTCCTTCAATTTTTCTGATCTTCCCTCATAAGTCTACATTGCTCTTGTGCTCCAAAGTGATCTTGGATAGATCCTTTATGTTCCTAGATAAGCTATAGATGCTTCATATATTTCAGGCACTGTTATAAGAATTTTTCACCAATTCTAGAATCAGTAAATTGAGTGTCAAGTAAGTAATCTGTCTGAGTTCTCTGTCTGAGTTCTCTGTCTGTCTCACACTCTTTCATCTTTGCAACTTAAATTCCCTTTCCTTCTTAAATTCAGCACCTTCGTGCCTTGAATCCTACCATCTTCTGCATATTCTTCCTCCAGATGATCCCAAATTCCTTTTGCTGTTTTGAGAGACATGATTCTGGAGATGGTTGTTGAGACTGCAGCAGATAGACATGCTTTCACCTTTGCCTTCCTTTTCATTTGGGCCATGGTGGGATTGTTTGGCAATGGAAGAATCTCACAACCCTCTTCCATAGCTTCTCAAACATCTAAAACCTCCAGGTAGGTCAGCATTCTTGCTACCTAAAGCTGGTAATTCTCTCAATCAAGTACTGGAGGCGCCCAGTATGAGAGATTGCCTTCAGCTTCCTTATCACAGGATTCGTGAGAACAGAAACAGCTATGATGCCAATGGTTGTTTTTTGGGATTAAAAATAGGAAAAATAAAAAATGAAGAAATTCATTAAAATATAAGGAAAATGGAAGGAGCGTATAACTGGAACGGGAATTGTGATTTCCTTGGTAAGATTTCACCTTCCCATATAATATTTGAATAAATTTAAAAAAATTAAAAAAGGAAGCCACTATCCATCCCACGAAATCACAATTAAATTAGCCATTAAATAGAAAACTGATGAGTTTCTAAGAGACGGGAACAAATTATTGACTAATTCAGATAATTAAGATCTTGTGCAGCTAATTAAATAAAAAACGTGCATATTAAAAACTAATCGTGTGCAGTAATCTAAAACAAATATCCAACATACTCTCATCCTCTGTTTCAAAATTGATTTCTTTTATCATCAAATTGTTCTTTAATTTGGCTATGTGAGTTCTGTATTTTCAATATTGATTACTTACATGTATCATTGGTTTTATCAGGAGCCTTAGGAATTGCAGCTTGCAAGGATCGGTTCCTGATTTAAGTAGGATACCGGAACTTGGTTATCTGTAAGTTCAGTTTTCCCATTTTTCATCAACTCATTTCATGATGATGATTTTATGGACCTGTATTTCAAGATGGAACTTCACCTGACACAAGTTAAGAATTAGACTTCCATGTTTAATGGAAACTGTTATACTATGTTATTTTGTTTTTGCTGACTATTGTTTGTAAATTCTAGTGACCTCAGTTCCAATGAGTTGAATGGATCAATTCCTCCTAACAAGCTTTCTGACAATGTTACAACAATGTAAGAACATATCATCCAGATGGTTTCTCATTTATTAGTTTTGCATTTGATTATTTAGATTTCAAATGTTGATTTCTCCTTTGATGACAAGTTCTGTAAGTCTACAAATAACAAAAATCTTCTATAGTATTTGACCTTTAAGGATTCATGCAGTGATTTATCAAACAACGAGCTTACTGGAACCATTCCATCCTATTTTTCTCTTCTTCCTCTTCTTCAGAGATTGTAAGTTGACTGTTCTTATTATTTCAGTGAAATGCAATTTACCATTTCTCACCTTATCTTGCGTATAAAATATCTTGTCGGATTACTTATTCAAGATTAGTATTTGATATTGCTTTTCCATTGATTTTGTCGGCAAGGAAATGACACATTTTCACATTTGATAAACCATGGCAGGTCAATTGCAAACAATTCTTTGAATGGCAGTATTCCTTCTACCATTTGGCAGAGCAAGACTTTAAATGCAACGGAAAGCTTTATCATGTAAGATTTTAATTGATAACCTCAGTTTTCATGGCATGGATTTGTTTTTGGGGACCTTTGAGTTTACATGCATCAGGGGAGGCAGGAAGTCTTTGATTTCACTTGTAGAATGAGCGTGCACATGCAGACATATATTTATTTTTTCTGAGGCATCTTTTGCATCTCCTTCTGCAAAGATGCCTCTGACTTTTAAAGTCTTGATTTGCTGACATGAATTTGTGATCCTGGATGTTGCAGGGAATTTCAACATAATAGTTTTACAAGCATATCAGGCAGTACTAGCCTTCCTCCAAATGTCTCACTCTGGTATCTTTGTAAACTCATTTTTCAATTTGGAATTTTCACACCCTGCCCCCCGGCATGTCACCAGAAATGACTGTGTCAAATGCAAGTGTCCAGCATGGATTGGACATGGCTTCTTTCTTAAAGTGTTTATGTTTCATTGATTATGTGACATGTTTTATGAAGAGTATTACTGTCCATTTCTAAAGTTCAAAATAGCTCTTTTTTTATTAGATCTAGCATAAATTCCATCATTTTCAGGTAGCTTCTGACATTTCTATTTGGGGAAAAAATGATTTTTCAGGCTTGAGGGAAATCCTCTATGTTCTAATGATAGCCTAGCTCAGTTTTGCGGATTAGAAGCCAATAACACTGATACTATGGTTTCAACATACTTCAATGGTAGCTGTCCTAGTGCAGCATGCCCCCCTCCTTTTGAATATTCTCCATCATCTCCAGAGAAATGTTTCTGTGCAGCCCCTTTGATTGTTGAATATCGGCTGAAAAGTCCGGGAATTTCAGCTTTTCCTTCTTATATAGATTTATTTGAGAACTATCTGACAGATGGACTTAAGTTATTCATTTATCAACTACACATTGATACATATTTTTGGGAAGAAGGGCCACGACTGAGAATGCTCTTGAAGCTTTATCCTGTCTATCTTGTTCAGAACCAAAGCTCACATATTTTCAACAGAAGCGAGGTTCTAAGGCTAAGAAGCATGTTCACAGGATGGTTAATTCCTGACAACGATATATTTGGGCCTTATGAACTACTTGGCTTCCATCTCCTAGATCCTTACAAGGATTGTAAGTCTCATCATTTACGCTCCCCTACATGAGTGGTTGGTGGAACTTTGAATTAATGTTTTCTTTAGCCATTACAATATGATAAATTCAAGTTCCATATCTATTAACTCTAATTGTTCATTTTCCCCACAACTTGAGCTAGTGGTGTTTTCCAGCTTCAATGAACAAAATTGTGTTTCCCTAACAGTCATAGGAATGTATTTCATGTCAAAGTTTATAGACCTGGTTGAACCTTTTGTCTCTCTCCCTTGCTGATTGGTACATGGTTGTTTTGAAGCTGCCCTAAAATTCAGTTTTTTGCTGACAAGTTCTATCTGTGACATTCTAGACGAGGTTACATCTCCTTGAAGCATGTTTTAAGTTGAGCATGGATGAGGTGGCAAATTTGCTGAGTGAAAAATCATAATAAACTGCATAATTGAGTTTGAATCCTCTGCATAGAAGTCATAATGAGAAATGATATTGTTTGCAATGCTGTCAAGTGTAACTCTAAACAGTAGCCTACTTGAAAATGGAAGTTCATCTGAATTTTCTCTTGAAAAAACTGTAGCATTTAATATATGTTATACATATCCACATATGGAATATGATCGTTGCGAAGTGCTATAAAGATGTTCTCATGCTTAATCTCACTATTTTGACAGTGATAGAAACCTCTAGACAAAGTTCAAGGATAAGCACGGGTGCACTGATTGGCATAATAATAGGGACAATTGCCTGTGCTGTTATAGTATCTGTAACTGTCAGTCTTCTTATAGTCAGAGTGCTCATGAGACGTTGGCGCTCAATATCAAAACGACATCAAAGTGAGTATTTTATCAGAAATAAGCTAGTGTATCATTGTTTTTCATTTTGACTTCTCTAAAGTGCTAGGTCATAATGAGAAGTATTGATTTTGAACACTTCCATTTGAGGTTCTCAAGAATGTTGCCATAATAAATTTTTTTTGTGATAATTGCAAGATGCGTTTTAAGCATTCATTTCTGCTGAAGCATGTTCTTCCACTCATCTATGTCAATTTGATGTCAAAGAAAATTCTAGGTGGGGGAGAAACTTATGGAATAAAAGGAAGGTCCTTGGCATATGATCGAGTAGTGTTAGATACTTGATTGGCTTTTAGGACTAATGTCATCCTTAATTTTTTTGGCCTCTCCTATTTTCTTCAATTTATTTCTTTTTCCTAGGAAATTTATTCCACCCAACATTGAAGAGATCATTACAGCTTATCTTTTAAAATCAAAATTTATTTTTAGTATTTTCATTTTTTTTTTCAAATGACAATTAGTAAGATTGGTTCTGCTGTATAGTACCTTCACAAGATGAGAGGTCTTCTCTTTACAACTCATAACACATTTCCCTTTTGGGATATCTATCAGCCAAATATTGGCTCATTCCATCTTGTGATTAGAAACCTTTTAACATAGGCCTCCTGCCTCTATTTGCAGCTTCAAAGGTTTCCATAAAAATTGATGGTGTGAGGGCCTTTACATATGAAGAAATGGCACAGGCTACAAACAATTTTAGCAACACAGCACAAGTTGGCCAAGGTGGTTATGGGAAGGTTTATAAAGGAAATCTTGCTGATGGCACTGTGGTTGCCATAAAGCGTGCGCAGGAGGGATCCCTGCAAGGTGAGAGGGAGTTCCTGACAGAAATACAATTATTATCCAGGTTACATCATCGTAACCTTGTGTCTTTAGTTGGATACTGTGATGAAGAAGGTGAACAGGTATTTCTGGTTTTGATTTGAAAATTTATACTCATTAGATTTTTTTTAAGTATACTCATTAAATTTTGTTTTAGTACATTTTGCTGTTCTTCCTTAATGTCATACCATTATCTTGGCCATCACATGTTGACTCCATGAAGATATGGTTCTCACAGAAAATTGTATATTCATCAATAGCACAATCATAATAAAAATTTAGTAAAAAGAGGATGCAAGGATATAAATAGCTTGCCCTGAATAACTGTATATATAAAGAAGTGCAAATCATAGCAAGGTTTCATCAAGTTTTTGATTTTGTTGATTGAAACAAGGGTCTTGATTGAATAAGGCATAGGCTTTCTGATGGACCCCTAGCTTTTGGGCTTGCCTTGTTAATGCACTATGGCAGGAAGGTAAAGACAAAAGAGAGTTTGAAGGTTCAGCCAAAGGGAAGGGAAAGGGTATTAGGTGCTGTGAGTGTTATGTAGGCTGAATGTGGTGATCTGTATGAGAGAGTGTGTGTTAGTGAGGTTAGAGGGGTTTATTAAAGGGGTTTGGAGGATGGTGAGGGAGGAGGCAGAAAGTGAGTATTGTGAGGGAGGGTGCCTTGTCTCTCAAATACCAGGTTGGGGGTTGAGGAAGTTCATCTTTCTTCATCATTTTCCTTTATGTTTTGAAAGTGTAATCTGTTCGTAAGCTTTGTTAGAATATTTGAGTGTTTGCTTACTCTTATCACTTCCAGTGGCTTATTTCCTTGCGTGTCTACTTATAGCTTGCGAGTGAGTTGTAATAGACTGTTACTGTTTTATTGAGCCAAATTTTCAGTGGATGGATGTTTCAGTTTCATTCTGGTCTGGGCTGCATCACTTTCATAATAATCCTCTTTAAGGAAGTTGGATGAAAGCTACTTCTCGTTGTATCCTTTATGTTTCTCATGCATTTTCTTGTTGACACTACCAGTTTCTTCTATTTTCATCTGGGTTGTTGCTTTATGGTTGCAGATGCTGGTTTATGAATTTATGTCAAATGGCACACTTAGGGATCACCTTTCTGGTACATCTTTTGTTCTTACTATCTACATTTGCACCCTGGGGTCTATTGCATTTTACTGATAACTTCACTAATTTCCTAAGAAGCAACAGTTGCCAGACATTCTAGCAATGTTATAAGGTTTCCTTGACCTATCTGCTTCCGAGATGAAGCACAAATAAAATTTTATATTTTGTTCCTCAAAAAGGAATACTTTTGTACATAATCTCGCCCTTTAATTCATATTTTAAAACTATGGATGTACATGGGCTGTGTTGGTTTAGTCCAACCTTGCTGAGACAGTTTCATCCTGTAGGCCCAAATTGTTAGACACGTGGTTCTGATTTATGCAAGCCCGAATCATTGTAATTCTCGACATCTTTCATCTTGTCATGGCTGACAAGACTTTTTTTCTATTTTAGTATGGACTATGTTATCATAGAATACTAAGAGATGCAATCAAATAAAGGAAACAAAAGGTAAAACTGCAGACTATAAATACCACGGACAGAATCATACAGAATGTAGCCAAACATAAATCAAGAATAACTTAGGCAGGAAATTTACAGTATCTCGTTCCTTTTCTCATACTGAACAATATTTCATAACACCCATTAAACTGTGTTCCATCAGAGAAACCAAAATATTATAGGGTTCTTTGTGTGGGGAAAGTTATCTTCTTTTTTCCATATCACATTCCGTTCTCCCAATTTTTTCCTTTAAATGTATTGTCTTACTAAGTGTGTATTGCATGTTTTACAACAGCTAATTCAAAAGAAGCTCTGAGTTTTGCTATGAGAATGAGGATTGCATTAGGGTCAGCTAAAGGTATTCTGTATCTACATACAGAAGCAGACCCGCCAATATTCCACCGAGATGTCAAGGCTAGCAACATATTATTGGATTCTAAGTTCACAGCAAAAGTTGCTGATTTTGGACTATCACGGCTTGCCCCTGTTCCAGACATTGAAGGAGTTGTGCCAGCTCATGTATCTACTGTGGTAAAGGGGACCCCGGTAAGATTCTTATCATTGGCTTCAGTTTGTTACAATTGAGTGCTAAAATGTTGTATCACAGGTGAATTTTGTAATTTTATTTAAAGATAAGACATCCTACAAAGTTTAAAAAGAAATGGAACAACAATACTTTGAATTTATTTGAACCTCTGCCAAGAAAACATTTACAAATGCAATGATTGAGGTCATTCCATCCTCATTCTGTTGCAGCAAGATTAATTTGGCATTGATGAGATCGCATGACAAAATGTTTAAAAACTTGTTATTGAAATGTCATCATTTGTAAAAGTGCCTCATTGGCAAAATCGCATAACAAACCTTTTGAGGAGTTACACAGATAAATTTTTTGCTTGCTCCCTCACGATGAACATTAGTTGGAAAAATGAAATGCAGCTAGTTAATTGTTGGAGACTTGTTAACATTTGACTGTTGCAGATCCCACATCTTGTGATCAAATTTGTTCCCTAATCTGTTATTTCCTTTCTGGTTTATTCCTCTTCTGTATTCTATGGTTTAATTTTATCTTTATTGTTCTTATTGTATTTTCATGACATCAACTTCATGAGCATCATATGGTTGACTTGAACCTCTTTTTCCACATCAATAAAATATTAGATGAATTTGGAATATTTTGCATCATTCTGTTCATAAATAATTGTGTAATCTACCACATGTAAACAATGTTCATTTATGCAGGACTTGCATACCGGACAAGTGGCCTAAAAGACATATTCCATACCTTATTTTCTTTCACAGTGAGGAGTGTTAACATGCATTTTTACCAATAAGTGGACTAAGTTTGTTTGGGCTTTTATGTTATCAATGTGCCTTGATTGTCCCAAGGTGGGTGTTAACATGCATTTTTACCAATAAGTGGACTAAGTTTGTTTGGGCTTTTATGTTATCAATGTGCCTTGATTGTCCCAAGGTGGGTGTGAGTCAGTGTATCCTTTTAATAACTATAAAAATAAATAGTTAAGAGAAAGAAAGGAGGAGGGAGCAAGAGATAGTGCATGTTTGGATAACAATGATAGTCAATTTTAAAGGTCAAAGCCATAGTTTTGTGAAAATATATCCAAACATTTCTGTTACACCCCAAGTCGATTATGAATCCAAACCATAGTTTTTTTAAAAAGATCCAAACACTAACATAGAAAGCTGGGAGAAAGGATGACATTTTTGGCTAGAAACAAAATAGACTGAAAAGTCCAAACAACAAACCTCTTATAAAAAGCCCAAGGAATAACCAGGTGACTAAATTAAAATTAAAAATAAAAATATGCAAGGTTTTGTAGTCGGTATGCAGATAGCCCATTTTTTGTTCCCATGAATGCTGGATAAAGTATCCTTTCCTTTTGTCATTTTCCTAGTTAACATGCACAGTATGCTAGCAACATGAACTTATAAAACAATTTAATTCTCTTTTCTTTTCCAAGATGCAAATTTAAAAAACATGCAATCAACGGGTTGAAATTATATTGTATATTTTGATAAGACTAACTTTATCAATTTGATGATTAACTCTATTCACTATTTTAATTTGCAGGGTTACCTTGATCCAGAGTACTTCTTAACTCATAAGCTGACAGACAAGAGTGATGTTTACAGTCTTGGTGTTGTATTTCTGGAACTATTGACTGGGATGCAACCAATCTCGCATGGCAAAAACATTGTTAGAGAGGCATTTCCTGAAACATTGGGCTTGGTTTCTCATTTATCAACTGTGATTGTTCCCAAGCTGGGGTCAATTATTTCCTTTTTGAGGATCATTTAATAATACCTTATCCTTTTTCAGGTTAATATTGCATACCAATCTGGTGTGACATTCTCTGTTGTTGATGGACGCATGGGGTCTTACTCTTCAGAGTGTGTTGAGAAATTCTTGAATCTGTCCTTAAAGTGTTGCCAAGATGAGCCAGATGCACGGCCTAAAATGGCGGAAGTGGTTCGAGAGCTTGAAAATATATGGGCTTTGATGCCGGAGTCTGATACCAGGAGAGCTGAATCTATAACCCCTGGTAGTGATTCTGGAAAATTGGTTAGTTCATCTTCATCTTCTACTGTAAAGACTCCCTTTGTATCCGGAGATGTGTCAGGTAGTGACCTTGTCAGTGGGGTGGTGCCAATCATTACGCCAAGATAGAAACTTGATGAAACTAGCAGCAGCAGTAGCATTCTATGTGATCTTGGAATTTTGTAGTCCTGTGAATTCAACAGACATGTTATCTTTTCTCTGTACATTCTTTTAAAGTATATTGTTGTGTAGAATGATTCATATAGAGCATTAGCTGGTGGCATATGGATTTTGTAGCACTAAGACACTTTTTGTTGAATTGTGGTTGTTTGAAGCTTAATAAGTACTTGGAAAGTGAAATCTGTTTTAGCTTTCTCCAAAGCTGCATTTTGCCATTTGACAAGGGGCAAAACATTATGATTTGCTTCATAAAAAGTTCTAATTGATCCTTCAAGTAGTTATATGGTTAAATGATTTATTGAAAAATGAAAATTTTCTTTTCAGGGACATAATTTGGAGCATGAAACTTTATGGTTTTAAATTATAAGCTTTATAGCGTCAATTAGTATCAATACTAATTTAAAGTGAAAACATATCGTGTCTCTCAAGCTTTTCACACTTGTATTAGATACAAGATAAGTGATTTTTAGATAGTTGAAAATTTTTTATAAAAAAGATATTTATTTTATAGAGATTTTATATAAAGTAGTTATTATTTTTTGTTTGATTACAATAATAAAAATGATTATTGATTAGTTATTTTAAAGTTTATAATATCTTTTTTGATTTTTTTTATAAATTAATCAATTTAAAATTTTATGATATATTCATATATCTTATATTTTTAAAGCATTCAAAGTAGCTTTTTAAAATAATAATTTTTTTTTTCATATTCTAATCATTTAAAAAAATTTAAACAAATGTCATAAAAATTCATATAAGAGATTTTTTTTTTCAAAAAATAAATGATTTTTTCATTAAAAAAGCTATAGGACTTGTTTGTTTAAAATTAAAAAATATTTAATTTTTAGATAGTTTAAATATTTTATAAAAAGCTATTTATTTTATAGAGATTTTATAAAAAGTAGACATTATTTTATATTTGATTACAATGATATAAAATGATTAATAGTTAATTTTTTAAAATTTTATAATATCTTCTTTAATTTCTGCTTTATAAATATGATTTATTATTTTATTATTTTAAAATTTTATAATATTTTTATATATCTCACCTCTTTAAAATACACAGTCTCTCATCTAATTAAAATAATAACATATTTTCTTATTTTTGTATTCTTATTATTTTTAAAAGTTTAAATAAACATAATAAAAACTCATAAAATAGATTTTTTTTATAAAATAAACTGAAATATACAAGCCCAAAACCGGAATTATATTCAAATACATAACTTATCATTTCAGTATGAATGAAGGATTTACATGCAACAAATATTTTAAATATATAAAATTAGGTACATAATTTTTTTTAAAAAATCAAATCTCTTTCACTGATTAATCATTGTTGATATTTATTTTGGGTAATGATAAAAAAAAAAGGCTTAGAAATCACATAAAAGGAAAGAAATAAATAAACATGACATAAATCTAGGAGTGGAAACTCCTAGAACAAGACCAAAAAACACAGTTGTATTGAAGAATCTATAAATAATAATTGTTTATTATTATAAAAATAATAATTGTTTATTGTTGCTTTAACTAGGTCGGTGTCGTATTGGGCTAAGAAGAAGCGTGTCCAATAAGTAAACGGGTTTATCAATTTTCATGGGCTGACATATTGAATAGTATGGGCAAAAGCTCTCTAGTGGAGCCCACTTTGACGTAAGCCCATACGTACAACAGCCTGCACCATGTCCTTCTCCTCGCTTCTTTGCATACCTATATAAGGCCATCGTCCTCTCTCCACATCCCCAATCTCTAGGGTTTTTGCTGTGTCTCAGGAAGAGAGGAGAAGGTTAATCATGGGAAGGAGTAAGTGGTGATTTCTCAGTTCGATAGTCTTTCTCTAATTCTTTGGCTTTCTGCTCTGAATTTCTTAGCTTGTTTCTGCTCACACGGGTTTTCAATTTTTGTCAATTGATGGAAAATGGGATCCATGACTTGTATGGAAACAGATGAATTTTGGTAGTCTTGGGTATTATGAATCATAATGGTTTCCGAAGCTGTTTGTATTCACCAAATTATATCCTTTTAAAAAGAAAAAAGAAATTGTTCTGATTTAGATTGAACTGAAGTTTGATATCATTCGGTATTTGTAAGAGCTTAAGATTTGACTCAGTTATAACTTGTTATGACATGAACCTACTGGTGTTTGAGTTTTGCTTGGAGATTTGTTTGAGGTTTCCTTACCAGATGCTGCTCGCTGCTTATGATTTTTCAGGACCGGCCAGGTGTTATCGCCAGATAAAGAACAAGCCATACCCTAAGTCTCGATACTGCCGCGGTGTACCTGACCCAAAGATCAGGATTTATGATGTTGGGATGAAAAAGAAAGGAGTTGATGAGTTCCCATTCTGTGTACATCTTGTATCTTGGGAGAAGGAGAATGTTTCAAGTGAAGCTCTTGAGGCTGCTCGTATAGCTTGCAACAAATACATGGCCAAGTTTGCAGGGAAAGATGCTTTCCACCTGCGAGTTAGGGTTCATCCTTTCCATGTTCTGCGAATCAACAAGATGCTTTCCTGTGCTGGAGCTGATAGGCTTCAGACAGGGATGAGAGGTGCTTTTGGGAAGCCACTGGGAACTTGTGCTAGAGTCAACATTGGTCAAGTGCTTCTGTCTGTTCGTTGCAAGGACAGCAACAGTCACCATGCCCAGGAGGCTCTTCGCCGTGCTAAATTCAAGTTTCCCGGTCGCCAGAAGATCATTGTCAGCAGGAAGTGGTAAGAAAGCATACGCTTATCTCTGATTTCTTAATGGTTTTACTATGTCAACTATGAAATTCCCATGTCTTCATTGGACTCGTCAATTTTTCGTTTTTTGGTTGTTATTTTAAATTTGCTATTGTCAAGTTACTAATTTCTGATATGAAGGATTCATAAACTCAAACATGGTTGGCTGGATTTATGATCCCATATCTCATGAATTAACCCAAGGGGGTTTCTTTGAGAATGTGACAATGCTTTTCACATGGACTTCTATATTTTCTCCCGCGTACATGTGAACCTTTTTAGCTGAGTTCTATGTTAGTTTATCAAATTGACTGTGAGAATCATCTTTTGTTTTCTATTTTCAGGGGATTTACCAAATTTAGCCGCGCTGACTACCTGAAATTTAAGTCAGAGAATCGAGTTGTGCCAGATGGAGTCAATGCCAAGGTTTGTCTCCTACTATAACTATATATCGTTTTGGAAAGAATTCTGATTACTTGTCTAGTATTTTAGGATTCTTAAACATATGCGATGAACTCTACTTTTTTGTCTAACATGGATGTTTTTAGCTCTGCTGAAATCACATTCTTGTGCAAACTAATTTCTCTTTTCCTTTATGCTTTTCAGGTTCTTGGGTGCCATGGACCTTTGGCCTTGCGACAGCCCGGAAGAGCTTTCTTGCCTGCTAAGGCTTGAAGCTCACCGAGAGTGTGTATTAATATATAATGATGTTTTCTTCTTCTGGAGTCTTGATTACTGTGTGAACAGTATTCGTAACTAGTGCGTCAGTTTGCATTTGGTTATGAGTATTATGTTGTGCAAATTCTGATGAGTTGTGATCGAACAATAATGGTGCACATTGGATGCCAATTTTCCACCTGCTTGGGATTGAGTATGTGGAAGAAAAAGGCTGCTAAATAATTTCTGTTCTAAGAATTTCAATACTAAGCCGAAGGATATTTCCCGGGGGCCGGGGGGGGGGGGGGAAGTCGCCCAACATCATTTTTATTAGCCGAATGATAAAAAGTACGAAGAGAATATATTTCAATCACTTTGAATGTCGGTAGATTGTTCTGTTTGGTTCCATCAAGAAGGGGGAGGGGAAAAAGAGTCAAGGCAAATGTCATAAAAGTTTTTTTGGCCAAATGTAACTGATATTTTTAATTTTTGATTGGTACAATATTATTATAGAAGTTTTAAAATTGATGCAATGTTAATCATCTACATAACATTTGACCAGTATTAATTATTATTTTGAATGTTCAAGGGTAAATTTGTTTTGAAGGTTTGTCTGAAATAATCATTTATATCCTAAACTTTTAATTGGTATAATATTTTTTAGTTATTAACTTTCAGATTAAAAAAAAAAGATTCAACTTGTTATAATCTAAAATCAAAAAAATATTTTAAATTTGAATTATATTGAATGTCTTGAAGTCCAAATTAAGGGTAGTTTATGTTGCTCTCATACAAGTTTGAACAAGTTTATATTTAAGCATGATAAATTGAGACCTACTCATGAGCAAAATAAAGATAAGTCTGGATTTTAAGAAAAAATTTGTGAAGTGTTCAAGATAGAATTGATTTATATGGAAACAACCTTGGGTGAAACCTCAACTCAAAATCTATAAATATAAATTATATTTTTAACAATGACAATGGGCTGTTAGAATTTTTTTATAATTTGAATATTGATGATTCAAAAATATTATGTTAATGGAAAGTTTAAGATATCAATTATTTTTTTAAAAAAATTTAGATAAAATTGTTTTTTAACTCTAGTCAAAATTTTCAGCAAATAGTTAATATTAGTTAAGCATTACTTTAAGGTAAAATTGCAACATTTTTCAAACTTTTAAAATAATATTGCACCATTCAAAATTTAAGGTTACCAATATATAATTGGCGAAAAACTTTTAAAATATATTTGTGTTTTAATCTCAAGAACAAACTTGCACAAGCAGAGATTCTTCAAGAACCGAGCTTGGTTGTGAAAATTGAAGGGAGGGAGAGAAAAATGTAATATTTTTAAAAAAATTTCTTCCTCTTGCTCTCAATCTTTTCCCCAAATTAGAGAGATTTGCATAGATCCCACTCTCCCACTCACCTCTCCTTCCCTTTCCTTACCGATCAAACATAGTGTAAGACAGCAAACAAGAACATGAAGGAATATTTGGAACTCATTATTTCCATTTTAGTGGAATAACTATGATTGGAAAAGAGAATATATTCATTGGCAGAGATGGAACAGAGAATATATTCCCTTCTTTTTTAAATTCCAAATAGATTTGAACGCAGCTCTTTAAAAATTAAAAGGGAGAATAACAAATATAAACCTATAAAATAGAAAAGTGACAATTAAAAAATATTCTAAAATGTGATAATATTTTTCAAGTCTCAAAGGGTCTAATCATCATTAAAGCTTTTTATTTAATGACATAAATACTACTTAATTCTAAAAACTAAAGCAAAATTGTGAATGTCTAAATCATTTTAGTTATTTACTAAACTAAACTTGTGAAAAAAAAAATTTTGCACTTTATTGATTGAATAAAAATGGGAGAGAAGGTTGCGAATGCCCAAATCACTTTAATAATTCATTAAACTAAAGTTGTGAACAAAAGAAATTTTGTTGATTGAAAAACAAATGGTAAAAGAAAGGTATAAATGCCTACTTTAATCATTTCCTGAACTAAAGATACGAATTTTAGAACTAAAATTATGAATGAAAAAACTTTGTTACACTTTTTTAGATTAAGAGATATTTTTGACATTTTATAAAAAGCTTTAATGGCAATTAAATCTCTTAGAACTTAGAAGGCACTATTACATTTTGCAAAATCAAATTATTATTTTTCTATTTTAGATGAATTTATTTGTGATTCTCCCAAATTAAAACCATCTAGTCTTTTAAAAATAGAGCACAGTCAGTGCAAAATATTTTCTACTCTCTTACCCATCTCTACAGATGCTTCAACCATATGTATATCCGCATATCATGACACAAATTTTGAGCTTCCAATGCGCACTGGGAATGATTGTCCTTCAATTATACTTTCTATCAAATTATCCAAAATCAGATAACTTCCATTTTATAAAAGTTCATTATTAATTTTGGCATGTATAAAAATATTTAAATATAAAAAAAACAGAATTTTGGGTTCATAATTGAATTTGACATATATAATAAGTGTTTGGATATTTATAAAAAAATTATAATTTTAAATTAATAATTAATCATAACTTATTACAGGAGAGTTTAGATGTATTTTTACAAAACTATAATTTTAGATTTTAAAATTAATTGTAAAAATTATCCCAACAGGCATTGTGTTAAAAAATGGACCCTCGAGCTACTATTTATAGCCATTACTCAATTTCAGACAACGACCAATCACTGCTAAAAAAAAGAATTATTTTTGAGGGTTACAAGTGTCAAAATATGCATCAATGACTGTCAATATTTGTTTTATTGACACTTACTTGACCGTTAATAAGTGTTGACAAGTATATTGTCAAAAATAGTATTATTAATGGTAACTGGCCGAGAAAAAATTTTAAAACTATTTTTGACAATTTTTTAATACAATATGAATATTCTCTATAAATCTAAAGGATTGACTTAAAAATATATTCGAACGTGAAATAACTGAAGCACTCTTGATTTTCAAAGAGAGAACCTGTTACCCAAAAATGTGTCAGATGTACATGTGAAAACCAAACATTTCCTTCTAAAATCTTTATCCAAGTTTCTCCCAAAGAAAACAAAAAAAGGTCAACAAGCTTGCTTCAATTATTGATGGGAAGATGGTATTCGTTCTTTTACAAAAGGATATGTGGTTTAGTTTCTACCTGTACGTGTTTTGTATTTCTCCAAGTTTAGAGAGAGAAAAAAAACTCGAGAAATTAACAAGTAAACTTTGATTTTCTATAAGAAAATGACTCGTTTTTATAAGGAAACGTTCAGTTTTCACGTATACATGTCCTATATTTCTTCACATGATGTTCTCTTTTTTAAATGAGAGGTAACCAGTCATTTTATCTTTGAAATTTGTTTAAAGTCAGTTCTTTACTTGTAGAGAATATTCAAATTACACTAGACCTTATATAAAATTAAGTGGTTTCGGCAACCTAAATACATTATTATCCCTGAAAAAAAAAGAAAAAAACCAAATTAATGTTAATCTTGAATTTTATAGAACGACTCTCAAAAACAGTGGATTAATGGGATTTGATTTTCACTCTCGCAAGTCTCGAACTCGAAAGCCAACTGTCCCTCGTAAGTAGTTTGGCGCCATGCCCGTGCTAGCCACGAGCACTGTAACAGTCTCATAAATTGTGGATCACTGTCTCAGGCTCTCAACGCGTGCCCGGCCCTTGATACTACGCAGAGTTCAACTTGTATGATGAGTCTTGTCTTGATCCAGAAACAATTAAGACGGGATATGAAATTATTATCAGAATATTTAATTTTATTTTGAATATTTATATATATATATATATATATTATTTTTATTATTCTAAAATTATATATTAATTATATTAATATAATTTTTATATATATTAATTATATCATTTATAACTTCAAGATGTATTATTCTTATTTAAAACTAAAATTTTTTATATTAATAATTTTAATGATACAGATTAAACAGTATATAATAATATTTTTTATAATATATTAATTATATTAATATAATTTATTTTTATATCTGTCTATTTAATAACTTTTATTTATATTATATTTTTTGTTTTATTTTTAAAGAGTAATTAATCTAGCATATCTCAACTAAAAAAAGAAAAATAATGACTTAATTTGTGCCTGACTTATTTGTTGTTATTACTCTTATAATTTATAAATTATTTGTAATTGCCATCATAATGTATTATACACTTATAGTTGTGATTGATGTAATTTAATAATTGATTTTAAATTATTGTAATTTATGTACTTGTATTGTTTTAATTTTAAACTTAATAAATTATATAATTTAAAATTTTAATGAATATTATTATCTAGACATTTCTCTCATATTGTTTGATATATCAGGATGGTAAGAATCTCATTCCAATCCCTCATAAAATGAGATGACTTTTAAGATGAGATGAAATATGAGACAAAAATTCAATCCAATTTTTTTTCAGGATGGGAACAGCAGACAGAGATGTTTCAGTTCCATCCCATCCCAAGAACATTCCTAATGAAGGTTATGGGATATTCATGCTAAATCTATCCTGATCAGTCCCATTTTATTTCAATCATATTAAGGCGAGTTTATCTCATCCTGAAAATAAATAAGACACATGACATTACCAACAAAAAATTATATTCAAAACAAAAAGAGATACTTTCCCTTTAAAAAATGTAAGACATTTTTAATTGAATATCACCCCCAATAAAGTAATTACCTACTTTCAAACTAACCCTATCTTTACATATTTACCCCTATTAAATACCCTACAATAAATATAAAGTCCTTATTAATAGAGGCACTTTTTTTTTAAAAAAAAGGTAATAATTACACGTCAAAAAATTAAAAATGCCTTATATTTTTTAACATCTAACTTTTTAAAAAATACCTTACATTTTTTGACGGAGGAAGTATTTCTCCAATTCTCTTTATAAGTCATTTCTATCAATGTCATCAATATTAATGCAAAAGAAGTAAAAGGAATAAAAATGTGTAAAATTTTAAGTATGCTCCTATATAACAAATCTAAAAAGTAATATCATGTTATTTTTTCTCTCTTAGGAAGGGTAATTTTGAATATATTTTTCAAATATTACCTAAAAAGTGGTACTATGATGTATAAATGAGACCGAATAAACCTTTTAAAATATACTTTATAAATGGGATCAGAGGGAGTATAAGATAACGTCCTGAACCAAATATATTATTATATCTTTTTATTTTTTATTAATATTTAATACTTTA